CAATGGTTGTGCTAATTCTCCCTTACAATGCTGCTGTATTTACCCTCCTTACAATGGCTGCTGTATTTACCTTCCATATAATGGCTGCTGTATTTACCTCCTTACAATGGTTGCTGTATTTACCCTCCCTCATGGCTGCTGTATTTACTCCTCCCTTACAATGGCTGCTGTATTTATTCTCCCTTACAATGAGCTGCTGTATTTACCCTCCATTACAATGGTTGCTGTATTTACCTCCTCATAATGGCTGCTGTATTTACCTCTCACAATGGCTGCTGTATTTACCCTCCCTTACAATGGCTGCTGTATTTACTCCATTACAATGGCTGCCAGATGCATCTCCTTACAATGGTTGCTGTATTTCACCTCCCTTACAATGGCTGCTGTATTTTACCTCCCTTACAATGGCTGCTGTATTTACCTCTCCTTACAATGGCTGCCAGATTATCCTCTTACAATGGCTGCTGTATTTATTCTCACAATGTTAGTTATTTACCCTCCCTCACAATGGCTGCTGTATTTATCTCCCTTACAATGGCTGTATTTACCTCCCTTACAATGGCTGCTGTATTTACCTCCCCCACAATGGCTGCTGTATTTACCCTCCCTTACAATGTGGTTACCAGATCATCTCCATTACAATGGCTGCTGTATTTACTCTCCCCACAATGGTTGCTGTATTTATCCTCCTTACAATGGCTGCTGTATTTACTCCTCCCTTACAATGGCTGCTGTATTTACCCTCCCTACAATGGTCCGATGCATTCTCCTCATAATGGCTGCTGTATTTACCTCCCTTACAATGGCTCCATTTAATTCCTCCTTTACCATCTCCCTTACAATGGTTGCTGTATTTAACTCTCCTTACAATGGCTGCTGTATTTACCCTCCATTACAATGGCTAGATGACCTCCATTACAATGGTTGCGATGCATCTCCATTACAATGGCTGCTGTATTTACCCTCCTTACAATGGCTGCTGTATTAATTCCTCCTTACAATGGCTGCTGTATTTCCCTCCCTTACAATGGCTGCTGTATTTACCCTCCCTTACAATGGCTGCTGTATTTACCCTCCTTACAATGGTTGCTGTTTTACTCTCCATTACAATGGCTGCTGTATTTACCTCCCCTACAATGGCTGCTGATTACCCTCCTCAATGGCTGCTGTATTTACCCTCCCTTACAATGGCTGCTGTATTTACCCTCCCTTACAATGGTTGCTGTATTTACCCTCCATTACAATGGCTGTATTTACCCTCCCTACAATGGCTGCTGTATTTACTCTCCTTACAATGGCTGCTGTATTTACCTCCTCCATTACAATGGCTGCTGTATTTACCCTCCATTACAATGGCTGCTGTATTTACCCTCCCACAATGGTTGCTGTATTTACCTCCTCCATTATGGCTGCTGTATTTACCTCCCATACAATGGCTGCTGTATTTAATTCTCCCAATGGCTGCTGTATTACCCTCCCATACACGGTCATGTATTTCCTCCATTACAGTGGCTGCTGTATTTACTCCTCCTTACAATGGCTGCTGTATTTACCCTCCTTACAATGGTTGCTGTATTTACCTCCTTACATGTGTATACCCCATCAATGGTTGCTGTATTTACCCTCCTTACAATGGCTGCTGTGATGATTCTCCATTACAATGGCTGCTGTATTTACCCTCCCTTACAATGGCTGCTGTATTTACTCCCTCCCTTACAATGGCTGCTGTATTTACTCCTCCTTACAATGGCTGCTGTATTTACCCTCCATTACAATGGCTGCTGTATTTACCTCCATTACAATGTTCCTGTATTTACTCCTCCCTTACAATGGCTGCTGTATTTACCCTCCCTTACAATGGCTGTATTTACCTCCATTACAATGGCTGCTGTATTTACCCTCCCTTACAATGGCTTGTATTTACCTCCTTACAATGGCTGCTGTATTTACCCTCCCTTACAATGGCTGCTGTATTTACTCCTCCTGTACTACATGTCTTCTCTCCCTCCGAAGATGTGTGCACAAAGTCTTCAGAATATCGAGTGACTCCTAAATCAGTCGAGATTTACATTTCTATGGTTTTTGTCATTGTAATCAGAATTCAGAGACGAAAGTTTTCTCTCTCTCTCTCTCTCTCTCTCTCTCTCTCTCTCTCTCTCTCTCTCTCTCTCTCTCTCTCGTGTGTGTGTGTGTGTGGAACCCATTGCGTTGCCACCGCTGCTCTTGCTGATGACAAACAATAAGAAGACGAAAGAGGAGGAGGCGATTGAGGTGACGAAACAGAAGAAGGAAAACGAGGGGAAGAAACAGGAGGAGGAAGAGGAGGAGGAATAACAGAGGGAGATTGAGGAGCAGGTGGGGACAACTTAGCAATCTTGTGTCTTCATCGTCGTCATCAGTCCAGACCAGCTGAGGCTTGCTGTGGCTCCTCCTGACGCTCCGGGACCTACCAGCTCACTGGGACCTACCAGTACACGGGACCTACCAGCACACCGGACCCATACCAGCACACCAGGACCTACCAGTACACCGGGACCCACACCGACCTACCAGTACACCGGGACCTACCAGACTAGGACCTACCAGTACACTGGGACCTACCAGTACACCAGGACCTACCAGCACACCAGGACCTACCAGCACACCAGGACCTACCAGTACACGGGACCTACCACACACCAGGACCTACCAGTACACCGGGACCCACGCACACCGGACCAACCGACACCAGCACACCAGGACCTACCAGCACACCAGGACCCACCAGCACACCAGACCTACCAGTACACCAGGGACCTACCAGCACACCAGGACCTACCAGCACACCAGGACCTACGTGCAACCGGACCTACCAGCACACCACCTAGGATCCACCAGTACACCAGACCCACCAGCACACCAGACCTACCAGCACACCAGACCCCAGCACACCCGACCCACCGACACAACACCACCAGCCCCACACCAGGACCTACCAGCACACCGGGACCTACCAGCACACCAGGACCTACCACACCGGGACCCACCAGCACCCAGGACCTACCAGACACCACGGGATCTACCAGCACACCAGGACCCACCAGCACACCACAGGACCCACAGTACACCAGGACCCACCAGCACACCAGGACCCACAACACACCAGGACCTACCAGCACACCGGGACCCACCAGCACACCAGGACCTACCAGCACCAGGACCTACCAGACACAGGACCTACCAACACACCAGGACCTACCAGCACACCAGGACCCCAGCACGACCAGCCACCAGGACCTACCAGCACACCGGGACCCACTAGCACACAGGACCTCCACAGCACACCCAGGACCTACCAGTACACCGGGACCTACCAGTACACCAGACCTACCAGTACACTGGGACCTACCAGCACACCAGGGACCTCAACTCAACAATGGACTCACTAGCACACCAGGACCTACCAGCACACCAGGACCTACCAGCACACCCGGGACCCCACCAGCACACCAGGACCTACCAGCACACGGGACCTACCAGCACACCAGGACCCACCAGCACACCAGGACCTACCAGCACACCAGGACCCACCAGCACACCGGGCCAAGACCTACCAGCAACACCAGGACCCACCAGTACACCGGGACCTACCAGCACACCAGGACCTACCAGCACACCAGGGACCTACCAGTACACCGGGACCTACCAGCACACGAGACCTACCAGTACACAGGAACCTACCAGCACACCAGGACCTACCAGCACACCAGGACCTACCAGCACACCAGGGACCTACCAGTACACCGGGACCCACCAGTACACCGGGACCTACCAGTACACGGACCCACCAGACACCGGGACCTACCAGACACCAGGACCTACCAGCACACCAGGACTCCACCAGTACACCAGGACCCAAAGCACCAGACCTGCCAGACACCAGACCTGCCAGCACACCGGGACCTACCAGTCACCGGGACCTACCAGCACACCGGACCCACCACACACCAGGACCTACCAGTACACCAGGACCTACCAGCACACCAGGACCCAGCTCACAGACACCAGGACCTACCAGCACCAGGACCTACCAGCACACCCGGAGACTCACCAGCACACCAGACCTACCAGCACACCAGGACCTACCAGTACACCAGGACCTACCAGCACACCGGGACCTACCAGTACACCAGACCTACCAGTACACCAGGACCTACCAGCACACCAGGACCACCAGCACACCAGGACCTACCAGCACACCAGGACCTTGCCAGTACACCAGGACCTACCAGCACACCGGGACCTACCAGCACACCGGGACCTACCAGCACACCGGGACCTACCAGCACACCAGGACCTACCAGCACACCAGGACCTACCAGTACACCGGGACCTACCAGACACCAGGACCTACCAGCACACCAGGGACCCCAGTACCCCGGACCTACCAGCACACCGGGACCTACCAGTACACCAGGACCCACCAGCACACACCCAGGACCTACCAGTACACCAGGACCTACCAGCACACCACAGACCCACTACACCGGGACCTACCAGTACCCACACAGGGACTACCCACACTAGGACCTACCAGCACACCAGGACCTACCAGTACACCAGGACCTACCAGCACACTGGGACCTACCAGTACACCAGGACCTACCAGCACACCAGGACCCACCAGTGCACACCAGACCTACCAGTACACCAGGACCTACCAGCACACCAGGACCTGCTAGCACACCACAGGACCTGCCAGACACCGGGACCTACCAGCACACCACACGGACCCACCAGCCACCAGGACCTACCAGCACACCAGGGACCTGCCAGTGCACCGGGACCTACCAGCACACCAGACCTACCATCACACCCCAGAACCTACCAGTACACCGGACCACCAGACACCGAACCAACAGACACCAGACCACCAGCACACCTGACCTACCAGCACACCACAGACCACCAGCACACCTGACTCACTAGCCACACCAAAACACTCACACCGGACCTACCAGACACCGGACCCACCAATCAAACCCACACCAGACCTACCAGCAAACCAGAACCCACCAGCACACCTGACCTACACCACTGGCCCCAGTACACCAGAACCCACCAGCACACCAAGACCTACAATCACACCAGGACCTCACCAGACACCAGACCCAACAGCACACCGGGACCTACCAGCACACCCTGGACCCACCACACTGGGAAACACCAGCACACCAGAACCTACCAGCACACCAGGACCTACCAGCACACAAGGACCTACCAGACACCTGGACCCACCAGCACACCAGGACCTACCAGCACACCAGGACCCACCAGTACACCGGGACCCACAGCACACCAGGACCCACCAGCACCCAGACCCACCAGCACACCACAGGACCTACCAGCACACCAGGACCCACACAGCACACCCAGTACCCACTAGCACACCAGGACCACCACACACCAGGACCTACAAGCACACCAGGACCCACCGAGCACACCAGGGCCTGCCAGCACCGGGAGCCTACCAGCACACCGAACCTGCCAGCACACCGGGCCTGCCGGTACAGAACCTACCGGTACGCAGGGCCTACCAGCACCGGGGCCTGCCGCGCACCCGGGACCTACCAGCACACCAGAACCTACCAGCACACCGGGCCCCAACCAAACCTGCACACACACCAGGACCTACCAGCACACCGGGCCTGCCAGCACACAGACCCTGCCAGCACACCAGGACCTCCAGCACATCCAGGACCTACCAGCACACCGGGACCTACCAGTACTGAGACCTGCCCACCAGGACACACCTTTTGAGACCTGCAGAACACCGGGACCTACCAGTACACCAGGACCTACCAGCACACCAGGACCTACCAGTACCAGAACCAGCCATCGAGACCTGCAACACCAGGACCTACCAGCACACCAGGACACTGTTTTGAGACCAGACACACCAGGTTCTGGCAGGACCTGCAAACACACAGACACCAACACACCGAGACCCACAACACCAGGACCTACACCAGTACCAGGACACAGTACACCAGGACCCAACCTGCACATACACTGGGACCTGCCAGCACACAGAACCTCCAGTACACGACCTGTTCTTGGATTACAGACCACCAGTACACCAGAACCTCTTTTTCTTTAGAACCAGAACACACAGCTACCTTTTGAACTACCAGTACAGGACCTGCAACACACAGACCTACCAACATGGGTTCTGTACACAGAACCTGATCTTGAGACACCGACCTACCAATGGAACCTACCAACACACAGACCTGGCACACAGAGACCTGAGGTTACCTTCCAGAGACCTGCAATACACCGGACCTTCCATTACTGAGACCTGCACCAGTACACCAGGCACCTACCAACACACCAGGACCTGCCAGCACACCAGCACCTGCAGGACCTGTTTGCAACCTGCAACACACAGACCTCCAACACACCAGACCCACCATTACCAGAACCTACCAACACACCAGAACCTGCAAGAACACCAGGACCAACCAGTACACCAACCTTCCACAGACCTGCCACACACCAGAACCCACCACACACCAGACCACACACCAGAACCTACCAGTACACCAGCACACCTGCATACCAACACACCGAGACCTGCCACCAATTACACCAGGTACTACCAGTACACAGGACCCACCAACACACCAGGACCTGCAAGCACACAGGACCTGAACCCAGTACACAGGGACCTGCAAACACCAGGACCTGAAATGCAGTACACAGGACCTGCCACACAGGACCTACCAGCACATTTCCAGCACTCCAGGACCACCAGCACCAGAACCTACCAACACACAGAACCTGGCACACAGACCACAGCAGACCCTTTTGAACCTCACCAGCACACAGGATGCCAGCACACCAGGGACCTACCAGCACCCGGGACCCACCAGCACACAGGACCTACCGGCACCAGGACCACGGTACACCGGGACCTACCAGCACACCAGGACCCCACCAGCAACCGTTCACCAGCACACTGGGCCCACCAGCACACCAGGCCCACCAGCACTGGCACACCAAGAACACCAGGACCTACAGCATTACAGGACCCACCAGCACACCAGGACCTACAAACACACTGGACACCCTGACTCCAGGACCTGCCCAGCACACCGGACCCACCAGCACACAGGACCTACCAGCACACCAGGACCTACCAGCACACACCAGGACCTCACCAGCACACAGGGCCTACCAGCACCAGGACCTACAGCACACCAGGACCTACCAGCACACCAGGACCTACAGCACACCGGACCTACCAACGCACACAGGACCTGCCAGCACACAGGACCACCCAACACACCAGAACCCCGGCCAGACCAGCACCGCCACGGACCTGCCAGCACCACAGGACCACCAAACACACACTGGGACCTACCAGCTGCCAGGACCACCAGCAGCACATGGGAACCTGCAGCAGGACCACCAGCACACCAGGACCACCAACACACAGACCCACCAGCACACCAGGACCACCAGGCACACCCAGAACCTCTGACACACACCAGGACCTACCAGCACACCGGACCCACCAGCACACAGGACCACACACCAGCACAGAGACCCTACCAGCTTTTAGGGACCCACCAACACCAGGACCTACCAGCACACCAGGACCCCGCACCTCAAGACCTCACCAGCACACAGGACACCAACTTCAGGACCCACCAACACACAGGACCCACCAACTTTGGGTGCATTCCAGGACACACCAACTTGAGACCCACCAACACAGAGACCCACAGCACAGACCTACCAGCACACCGCCGCAGACCTACCAGCACACACAGGACCTACCAGCACACCAGGACCCACCAGCACCCAAGACCACCAGCACACCAGGAACCTGCAGCACACCAGGACCTACCAGCACACCAGGACCTACCTACACCAGGACCCACCAGCACACCAGAGACCTACCAGCACACCAGGCTGCAAGCACACAGAGACCTACCAACACACAGACCCACCAGCACACCCAGGACCTACACTACAGGACCCACCAGCACACAGGACCTACTGGCACACCAGGACCCACCAGCGGACCCCAGCACAGGACCCACCAGCATCCAGGACCTACCAGCACACCAGGGACCCACCAGCACACCAGGACACTCCCCGCTAACAGGACCTACCAGCACACCAGGACCTCAGCACGGACACCCAACACACAGGACCTGACACAGGAGCCCACCAGCACACCAGGACCTGCCAGCACACCGGACACCTGGCACAGGACCTCCAGGACCCACCCCAGCACAGGACCTACCAGCACAGGGACCTACCAGCACAGGACCACTGACACAGGACCTGCCAGCACAGGACCACCAGCACACCAGGACCTACCAGCACACCAGGACCCACCAGCACACCAGGACCTACCAGCACACCAGGACCACCCACAGCACACCAGGACCTGCACACCAGGACCTACCAGCACACCAGGACCTACCAGCACACCAGGACCTACCAGCACCTGGGACCTACAGCACCAGGGACCCACCAGCACCAGGACCTGCAGCACACCAGGACCCACCAGCACACCAGGACCTACCAGCACAGGACCCACCATTACCAGGACCTCCAGCACACCAGGACCTGCCAGCACACAGAACCTGGCTCCAGGACCTACCAGCACACAGGACCCACCAGCACACCAGGACCCACCAGGACCTACCAGCACACAGGACCAACACACAGGACCACCGCAGGACCCACCAGCACAGGACCTACCAGCACACAGGACCACACAGGACACAGGACCTACCAACACCAGGACCTACATTTGGGACCTACCAACACCAGGACCTACCAGCACACCAGGACCCACCAGCACACAGGACCTCTCCATGAGACCTACCAGTACACCAGGACCTACAGCTCCAGGACCTTCCAGTGCAGGACCCTACAGTACACAGGACCTGCAACCGACCACCAGGCACCCAGGACACCAGCACATCAGACAGACCTACCAGGGGACCTACCAGTAGGGACTACCAGTACACAGGACCACCAGCACACCAGGACCTACCAGCACTCAGAGACCTACCAGCACACAGGACCCACCAACACACCAGGACCCACAAACACACAGACCTACCAGCACACCAGGACCTACCAACACAGGACCCACCAGCACACAGGACCTCCAACCAGCACACCAGGACCTACCAGCACCGAGACCACCAACACCAGGACACCAGCACACCAGGACCTCCCAGCACACCAGGACCTACCAGCACACAGGACCCACCAGCACACCAGGACCTACCAGCACACCAGGACCACCACCAGCACCAGGACCTACCAGCACACCAGGACCCCAGCACACCAGGACCTACAGCACCGGACCACCACCACACTGGGACACCAGCACACCAGGACCCACCAGCACCCCCAGACCTACCAGCACACCAGGACCCACCAGCACACAGGACCTACCAAGCACACCAGGACCTACCAGCACACAGGACCTACCAGCACACCAGGACCACCAGCACACCAGGACCCACCAGCACACCAGACATCCAGACCAAATAAGATCTATCAGCACCCAGGCTCCTCCCATACCCCACACACACACAGGATCTCCCAACACTCTAGACTTGGGGCTGGATTACCTGATGGCTGCACCTCTGGACTGTTTGTTAATGGCACGGCCTCCCAACTTTTCCAGACGAGATCCAGAGTAATGAGATAATTGTCTTTACCTATGAGCAATTTTTAATTTTTTTTCTTTATATTAAAACTGGAAAACTGAAATTCCTTATATAGTTAGTTGAAATTCTATAAAGAAGATTATACTCAGTTGTGCAAATATATAAGATATTTTTTTCCAATAAGAGTCGTCATATTTACCCTTTTTTCAGATAGTGATTGAGTATAGGTGTTTGTGGATGGCTTATTACTGTTTGATGTGTTTTTAATGGGTATAAACAGAACACAACACAAAACAACTCAACGTAATGCAACACAACACAACAACGCAACACAACAGAACATAACATAACGCAACCAAAACTGAACAGAACGCAACGCAACACAACAGAACACAACGCAACGCAACACAACTCAACACAACACCACACAACAGAACACAACACCACTCCACACCACACTAGATGCAGGTGTATGGAAGAGAAGGAGAATTGGTTGTTTTTTGTGTTGTCTGTTCCCCTTGCAGGACGTATATTGCTCTACTATGTTGCTTCATTCTTTCTCTTTCTCCTGCCTTCATTTTCATTCTCTCTTCATTTTACTTCCATCTTCTAGGCTTCTTTCTTTATTAAATTAAATTAGTGGATTATCGTAGTGTCTTTTTGTTTTCTTTTGTTGTTTCCTTTTTTAATTCTTTGTTTTTTTTATTTTTTGTTCACTAATTATATGTTTACTTTTCGTTTTATCATTATTATCAATTTTCTTCATTTCCATCTACTGCCTCTTCTTCCTTTTCCTAATAACATTTTATCATCATCATCATCATCATCATCATCATCATCATCATTGTCAGTAATATTATTTCTTCTATCAATTTTCTATTATTTTTATTTCATTATTAGTATAAATCCTCTTCTTCTCTCTCCCCATTCTTCTCCTCTCCTCCCCCTTCTTCTTCCTCCTCCTCTTCGTTTTACCCCTCCTTACAATACACATGATTTACTACAACACTTCTCCTCTAGTTTTCCAAAGAACACATTCTCTCTCTCTTCTTTCTGTCTTTTCTCGTTTCTCCTCACTTTCTCATTGCAATCTCTCTCTCTCTCTCTCTCTCTCTCTCTCTCTCTCTCTCTCTCTCCTCACTTCCTTTCTCCCTCACTTTCCCCTCCCTCTCTCTCTCTCTCTCTCTCTCTCTCTCTCTCTCTCTCTCTCTCTCTCTCTCTCATAAAGCCAGGACAGAACAGTTCGTCTCCCTGAAAATGCAATTCCATTTCGTCGTCCTCAGATTGTCTCCCTGCAGGCATCAGCGAGCGACTGAAAGATGTCACTGCAATCTGATTACTCAACTCAATCACCCGGGAGATTGGGGGGGCGTGTCTCTCTAACCCAGTCATCGTGTCCAATCCTTCTTAGAGAGACAGATGGGAAGATGATGGATTGTGTTGGTGAGGAGATTGAGATGTCTCTCTCTCTCTGTGTCTCTTGTCCAGTATCTCTTGATTTTTATTATTACTTTTGTTAGTTCTTCTTATGCTGCTACTACTACTACTACTACTACCCTCTACCATTACCATCACCACTTCCACAACCAGCATTACTACCACTACCACCACTATTACCATTATCACCATCGCCTCTACCACTACCACCATCTCCACCACAGGAACCACTCATATCACCAATACCATCACCTCACTACCACCACCACTATTAACACCATCGCCACTACTACCACCATCACCACCATCACCACCATTCCTCCCAGTGACGACACAAAGAGCTATATAAACCAGTTGCCAAACACCATAAAGTCGACACAGGGACGCTGTTGCTCGTAAACAAGAATTAAAAATAATTACTCAGAACTGTAACTGAGGTAGTACACGCGCCACAAGGGCGCACACCACTAACTAACTCGCCACTCTTACTAACAAATCCTCAATAAGACCAGCATTTAGCCAAAGGCCATAAAGTACCTTAATGTCAGATCCTAAATGGTAAATTTGTGATGGACTGTTTTGGTTGTGGAGAGTGTGGGGGGTGGAAGGGAGAATGTGGGAGGTGGAAGGAGAAATTTGGGAGGTGGAAGAGGAGAATGTGGGAGGTGGAAGGACAATGTGGTGGTGGAAGGAGAGAGGAGTGGGAAGGAGGGAGGAGGTGTAGGATATAAAAGGGGGAATAGGACGGGGATGGACAATGAGAGGGTATGGAAGACGAGAGAGATGAATGGATGATGGAATGAAAGATAGGAGGGAGTGGAAGAGGGGAGACAGGGAAAGTATGGGGGGAGGAAATGAGGGAACAAGAGGAGAAATGGAGAATGTTTCTGGTGTTGTCACATTTTCCTCTGCACGTACACTAACTCAGGTGACACATTATACAGCAACTAACACAAAGCTAAGGACGTTATACTTTCCCCGGGGACACCAGCGGGAGGAGGAGGAGGAGGAGAGGCCACACGTACACAAGAGACTAGACGTGTTGGTGGTGTAATTGTGATGTTTATTTCCCATGTCCCGTGTTTATGTTTGCTTGTATGAGAGAGTTGATGGAGTTGTTTGTTTGAAAGCAAAATATTGACATGAGGGGGGTTGTTATTACCCAGGATGTTTGTTTATGTGATTAAAGAGTACCTCACCTCACCGCTGTGTCGTGA